CCATTTCCGAAGAGACAGCCAGTCCAGATAGCTTAACACCCCCCAATGGAATAAAGGATTAGAGAACCGATGGCCAAATGAACTGCTTTAATGCAAGGATATATATACAGATAGTTCTTGACTTGCAACTATTTGTCTAGTAGCCATTCAAAGGAACAACAGCATTGAAAAAAGCCACATGTACATTTTTCACCCTTTCAAGCATCAGATGCTTGGCCACTGGTTCAGGTTTATGACCGTTGCTGTGTCCTAAAGTCAAGCAATCACATTTTGCGACCTTCTGACGAGGAAAGTCAGTGGGGAAACCAGATTCACTTAACAACCATGTTTCTAACTTGAGAGCTGCAGTGATTCGCTTAACAAATGTGACAAGAAAAGTCCTAAAATATCTTTTTCTTTCTTTTTTTTTTTGCTTTAATTTATATGCCGCCCTTCTCCAGAGACTCAGGGTGGCTTACAATGCATTAAGCAAAGGCCTTCATCCTTTTGTATATTTATACAAAGTCAGCTTATTGCCCCCACAATCTGGTCCTCATTTCACCTACCTTTGAAAGGATGGAAGGCTGAGTCAACCTTGAGCCTGGTGAGATTTGAACTTGCAGTAATCGGCCAAACACTTACAGGAGAGTTGGAGGAGAATATGCTGGAAATCAGCCAATAAAATGCTGGAAATCAGCCAAACAAATAGGTGGAGAGTTGGAGGAGATTATGCTGGAAAACATGCTGGAAATTAGCTAATAATGGTGGTAGGCTTGGAGGAGACTATACTGGAAATTAGCCAAAAATAGTTGGTGTTTTGGAGGAGACTATGCTGGGAATCAGCCAAACATAATATGCTGGAAAACAGCCAAACAATAGAGGGAGGTATGGAAGAAAATATGCTAGAAATTAGTTTAAATAAAACATGTTTTTGTGATAAATCTGTGTAACATGGAAATTGTAATAGATGATAAGTATTTTTAAGTGTGTTTAAGATACTAAGATTCGAGGAAAAGGGTCAAGAGATTAAGAATTAGATAGAATTTTGTTTTAGAAAGTGTAATAAAAATGGAGTTGTATTGAACTTGAAATTAAGATTTGTGGTGATAAAATTGTAAGGTAAATAATTGGAATAAGAGGTTAGAATATTGTTAAAAATTATTTTGACACTGATGGTAAAAGATACAAGGTGAAGAAGAACAAAATAAAATCAGGATTGACATATAGATATAAAAATGAGTGAAAGTTAGTTTGAAAGTAAAATTGTATTGATATAATGGATTTGTTTAGGTGGAGATGCTAGATTTTATGTTAAAATTTGTTTTTTTTATGTTTTGAATTTCTATCCGCAAAAGATGTAATGGGAAATTGAATGGAGCTTGTTAAAGGAATGTAAGCGTGGTAACCATCTATGACCAGATTGAGACTTTGTTTTTAAAAGTTATATTTTATGTTTATGTTTGGAAAAAAATAAATAAAAAGTATTTACAAAAAAAAAAAACCCACCTCCCATTGCCTTAAGAAAGTTCAAAACATCCTTAAGGGTCCATTTCATCCTGGGCCCCCTTTTTTTGAACTATTACCATCTGGCAGACAGTACAGGACAATAAAAACAAGGACAAATGGGCTGAATATGGAGATGGTACAAAAACTTAATAAGCAAATTGAGAGATTCCAACGATATGTGATGGAACAACTACCCCCTAGATTAGTAACTTAATGTCACTCATTTGAACCTGGGGACCAAGTGGAAGATGGAAGGGATCTTTTATTGGTATTATGACTTCTCCACTTGCTATTAAGATTGCAGAATCAAAATCATGGATCCATCGGACACGAGTCAAGGCAGCAGCTGACACCGGCTGGAAAGTGTCCGTGGACAAACAACATTCAACATCATTGACATTTGAATGTGCTTAAAGAAAGCTCCTGTATTTTATATATAGGTTACCTTGATGTATATCTGCCGATGTAACCCGTTGTAAGCTAAAAAAAAAGAGGATGGAGCACCTGCTCTCTTGAATTAGTCCGGAACTTGGATCCTGATGAAAGATTGAAGATCATTGCGGATTCATGTGGGAGGAAAATTGGGTGTGGGCACTTTGAGTAATTGGGGTAGTAGCTTTATTGATTATTGTGTTTTACAGATATAAGCAATGGTTTTGTGGACAACCAGGGCCCATTTGATTTCTCAGTCGTTCCGATCCCTAATATCTCCCCAACCGGCTGCGGAGTGTGAACCTCTTACAGGTGAAAGAAGTCCCTGCTTAGGACACCCTGGAAGCTGCCTTTTGATGCAAAAGAACAGAAAAGAGAATTTTCTTTAAATGTGTTGGTTTTGTAATTGTGGGTGTGAGTGTTGTTGTTGCACTCACTGTATTGATTGTGTTTTATGTATAAGCTGTAAGGTAGAGTGTGACGTGAAAATTATAGAGGAGGTGCTAGTACATTATTTGGTAATAAATCCTGAAGAAGTCCCCTTGTAATATTATCTGAAAAGGGAAAAGCTGAATATACCCGAAATCCCTAGCTATGTAACAAATACCTTTGTCAAATTGGCAGAATACATAGCCCACACTCTGAGTGTATCAAATTGTTTTGTATGTGGAGGAACTAACATGGGAGAAAAATGGCCATGGGAAGCTCAAGAATTGAACTATTCCAAAGCATTAGAAATGGAACAGAAGGGTAACCTTTCATATAATCAGGGAAAAGATGGGGACTGGACACTTACCACCAGTTTGGTAGGGAATGTATGCTTCCAAAGGAGGACTCAAACGGATTGTAAACAGGTAGGAAACCTTATACGCACAGGAAAATGGGAAAGCAAGACATGGTGGTCAGGGAGTAATGTCACAGAGGGTATTGATGAAACGGCTCTGTTTGAGGTCAACAGATTAGCCTTCTTAAGGGATCCGGATAATCATACCCTTGAATGGCTGGCTCCTGATGGATTGTACTGGATTTGTGGTAAGATGGCATATGGGTATCTACCTAAGAATGGGTGTGGAGTTTGTGTCCTGGGAATAATTGGACTTTTTGCTTCCCCTTAAAACTCGACAGGTTTTAGATGTCCCGGTGTATGAGGAGGTGGGGAACTTAAGACAAAGAAGACATGTAGATACATCTGCAATAGGAAAAGTTAGGGTCGGAGGTAACCAACGTAGTTGGGGAAGTGAGGAGTGGCCTGCAGAGCGAATTATTGAGGTTTATGGACCAGCTACATGGGCAGAAGATGGCATGTATGGCTATCGGACCCCTATATACATTCTGAACCATTTAATTCGTCTGCAAGCGGTGGTTGAAATCATCACCAACGAAACTGTAAAAGGTCTTACTCAATTAGCTAGGGAGAGTGTCAAATCAAGGACATATATTATGCAGAATAGATTAGACTTAGACTATTTGTTGGCCAAGGAAGGAGGGGTATGTGGAAAGTTTAATTTGACTAACTGCTGCATAGAAGTTGATGAAAGCGAAAAGGTTATTAAGGAGATAACAGACAAAATGGTTAAAATAGCTCATGTGCCAGTCCAGACATGGAAAGGTCTTAATTTACAGGACATGTTTTCAGGATGGTGGCCAAAGTTACCTGGCCTGCAGGCCATTTTTGGCCTGGTGGGATTAATAGCTGCAGAGTGTATTTTTCTCCCATGTATTTTACCTCTGTTTGTTAAAACTATCTCTAAAAGTCTATCCTTGCTGGTGGAACGTAGGACAACTGCTCAGGTGATGGCTATGTGGGATTACAAACGGCTCCAGCAGGAAGAGGACCTGGAGGTGTGACTCGTCTGGATAAACAGATGAGTCACAAAGGGGGGTATGAGCCAGGCTAAGATTCGGTATTGGGATAAAACTCAAATATTACAAATCCAAATCTTTGGTCAAGACAGAAGTGCCTCTTCCGTGCCAAGGTCCTGAGATGACAAACGGTATTTGACGTAGGTACAGAATTGTAAAAGGGCAAACTGACCCTAAACAGATACATCTTGTTGTTTAATGTTTATTTCACCCCAAATGTCATGCATATCCCTGGATAAGGGGTGCTGCTTCCTTATTGCCCTTGAGGCGTCTCCAAGCATCTTATCTCCTTTTGTTATGTCTTGAGCTCCAGAGCAGAGAACCTGAATATGTGAGAAGAAGATTGTTATTTCCTTTCCCAGAGATAGATGAAAGGGCAGCTTCTACGTGTGAAATGCATCACTCTCTGTAATACTTTTGCCTTTAAACTGTATAAATACATGGCCAGAAGAAGCCATTGGCGTTCAGACCTTTTGGACTGTTTGAACCTTGCGCAATAAACTCTTTCCTGCATTGAAGAGCTTGGCCTAGTCCGTCATTTTTCCTATAACAAGAGCAGTAACTAGACTGTAGGAAGTTAGCACTCACTCCTCTCCTAGGAAAAGGAAATATTTTAGGATATACTAAAAAGGCAGAATATTTTCCCTAAAAGAGAAACTCAGAGAACCAGAAACTCAGCCCCCACCTTTATTAATGGGCCACTAAGGCCTGAGCAAGTCTATTCTACATAACAAAGATCCACCTCCTTCAGGCAGAGCCATTTAACTGCCCTTTATTGCACCACCCACCAAGTTTCAGCCAAACTTGGCACACAGACAACCTAAAGGGCGAAGCTATGACCAATCAGGATATTCTTCCTGGGCCCCAGGAACTTCAAAGCCAGAGAGGGCATAAAAAACCAAGGCACGCTCAGCATCTCTGCCCTTTTCTGTTCGGGAACTCAAGCCATGTGATCCTGTCCATCATTAAACCATCTTTCCAAGCAGTCTCCATGTTTCCAGTGTCTTTTTCCCCACTCGGAGCTGAACCCAGAAGGATATTTCTTCCAACAATACAATTCTACTGTAGAGTGCAATATTAATGCAATATCAGGGGTTTTCAATTCAATTGCATACAATGTGAAGGAAGTGTGTTTTTGTTTTATTTTAATAGGGTTTTTAAAAAGTATAATATACAGTGAAGATGGCACTTTAATTGTATGAGGTGCCATGATAATAAAGAAAACTATTAAACTATTAAACTATTATTGCTTGGTCTCGGAGATCCTCCTGATGCCTTTGGAGAGGAGTTGACTGCTAACAAGACCCGGCTCGATCAGATGGCCACACTGCCGAAAGATTTCTTCCATTGAGTCAGCTGCAGCCTGAGCCACCGAGGCTTCACGATCGCCTTGCAGATCCCGGAGACCTGAAACGAATTCAGAAAACAAAGGATTTCTGGGATCAACCGTGAGAACCAACCCTGATCAGCGAAAGAGCTTCCGGAGAACAAGTCACCGGTTCAAGCGAGGAAACTTTGAAACTCACCGAGGAAAACTTCTTCGATCTGTAGGGAAGTCACCACTTCCGGTTGCATGTATTGCGCGCAGCAGCCTAGGCGCATAAAAAGAAAACGTTGGTGGGCTTAGCAGAGACGGCTAAATCGACTGATTCAGGAGAAAAAAAACACACAATTCATTGGTTTCCACTTGGAAGAGTCGCCTTGGGACTTTACGGGATGGTTCCAGGGATTGGGTCTGTCTGATAAAAAGAAGGACGAGGGCAGTGGTGAAATCTAAATTTGTTACTACCGTTTCTGTGGGCATGGCTTGATGGGGGGGAAGGTAATGTGACTGGGTGGGCATGGCCATTTTTTTTTTTACTTTTAAAACCATTTTTTACATGTAAAACCGTTTAAATAATGCTTTCAAAAGGCTCTGATGATCCCAGCTGAGTTGTCTGATCAATTAGGCAACTCAGCTAGGATCGTCAGAGCTTGGCTCGTCAGAGGCATTTAAAAGAAAAAAAGCCTCTGATGATCGCACGGCTCAGCTGGGCATGGGGGGCAGGGGCAGGGATTTTTGCTACTGGTTCTCCGAACTGCCCGCCGCCATTGCTACCTACTCGCCCGAGCTGGTCTGAACTGGGAGCATTTCACCCGTGGACTAGGAGTAGCCGTTCTTCATATGGTTTTGTCTCCAGGCCATACTGGAGGCTTTAAAGAAGAGATTGGGCAGCCACTGGTCTGAAATGGAATAGGGTCTCCTGTTTTAGCAGGGGATTGGACTAGAAGACCTCTAAGGTCCCTTCCAACCAGAGGTGAAATGCTCCTGGTTCGGACCGGCTCGGGTGAGTAGGTAGCGATGGCGGTGCACAGTTCAGAGAACTGGTAGGAAAAATCCCTGCCCCTGCCCCCATGCCCAGCTGAGCCGCGCGATCATCAGAGCCTGTTTTTTCTTTTAAATGGCTCTGATGAGCCAAGCTCTGACGATCCCAGCTGAGTTGCCTGCTAACCGGTAGCAAAAATCCATCCCCCCTTCCCCCCCCCTCCAGCCTCCAGCTTGCTTACCTTAGCTGCTGGTTGCAACGTCTTGCTGTAATCCCTGCAATCCATTGCATCAGCCAGCAAATGAATCTCCCTGCCTGCAATCAAGCTCATCGGTGAGCAGCTCTATCTGCCTGCCTGCCTTCCTGCCTGCCTGCCTGCCTGCCTTGTACCTTCTATTGCAGGGGTCTCCAACCTTGGCAACTTTAGGATTTGTGGACTTCAACTCCCAGAATTCCTCAGCCAGCTTTGCTTTGCTGGCTGAGGAATTCTGGGAGTTGAAGTCCACAAGTCTTAAAGTTGCCAAGGTTGGAGACCCCTGTTCTATTGGGTAAGTTTTTTTCCCCTTTGGGAGCTTTAAAAAAAATACTGTAGTTAATTGGGGTTCTTTTTAGTTGCTCTTTTTTTAGACCTAGCCATTTAAAGTTTAGGAAGTTTTAAATTTAGCTGCTTTTATATAAAAATAAAAATAAAATAAAATAAAATAATATTTGTGCAGCTTTCTGAGATTTAGTGTGTTTCTGTAGTGTTTCACTCTAACTACACAAACACACAAAATCTTAACAACGGCAGCGATACCCTTAAGAAAGAGGGCAGGAACTGCCTGAAAAACGGTTGCGCAATCGTAGCAGTTCCGGAGAAGCCACACGGTATAAGAGCAGCTTCCAGTCTGATTAAGCGACATGGCTTAATTCGGCATAGATTCTTTTGGTGATAAGGCCGCCCGCCTGTCTTGGGTTTTCCTGCCCTCCTTCCAGAGTTGGCATTGGTGATTACCAATTAAGAGGGCAGCTGCCTCGCGATGGGAAGAGTTCCGGCTCCTCAGGAATCCCAGCATCTGATCCAACATTGCAGGAAGGTTTTGCTTGCATTTATTCATCTGGGGAAAACAAGGCAACAAACAAGCCACTCAACTAGAGAGCTTCCTTTTTTTAAAAATTTTTTTTACAAAGGGGCCGCTTTCTTGGTTAGGTTTCTAGTCCTCATGTCCTCAACAACTTACTGTACTGTACTAAACATTATTATACTATACTATACTTTACTATAATAATCGATATTTATGTTATTAGTGACAGTTTTATCCAAATTAAAAGCATAAAGGAAAATAAAGAAAAAAAGCAGATAGTGAAAAACAGAAAATAGAAAAAGAAAAGGGAAAGAAAAATGATAAGGAAATGGCTTCTGAACTTATAAATGCATTTATATTTTGCCCCCCTCTACGCCCTAATTTCCTTTTCCCACAAACTGCCATTTCTAATCCTCAAACCCACAAACCAGCAAGGTTTCTAGTCCTCATGGTTGCAGGGAACCTCTGCTGTTCCCGAGAGAGCAAAAACCCAAGAAGAATCCCTCTAGTCAGATGAGTCTAGAGGTTAAGGCATCAGGCAACAAACCAGGAGCCGGTGAGTTCTAGTCCCGCCTTCATCATGATAGTGAGCTGGGTGACTTTGAGAGTTCTAGTCCCGCCTTTGGCATGAAAGCTGGATGGGTGATTTTGGCTAATTACCAGGAGACGGTGAGTTCTAGTCCCCCCTTGGGCAAGCAAGCGGACTGGGTGACTTTGGGCCAATGAGCAGGGAATGGTGAGTTTTGGTCCTGCCTTAGGCATGAAAGCCAGCTGGGTGACTTTGGGAGTTCTAGTCCCTCCTTAGTCAGGATGGCCAGCTGGGTGACTTTGGTGCAGTCCCTCTCTCTCAGGGCAACCCACCTCACAGGGCTGTTGTGAAGAAAAGAAGAAGTATTAGGGATGTCCACTGTCTTGAACTATTTATAAAAATAAGAAAGGCAGGGCAAAATAAAGAAATAAACGTTTAGCAAACTCTAATCTGGAAGAAAACTGGCCAGCTTGGCTCCTACTTACAACCACGTAGCAGATGTTGGAGTACATGCTATGGAGGCTGGTATACATTTCATAGTCAAACAAGTTGCTGGGAAAGCCCCCCCAGTTCATAAAGGACACGCAGGAGTCGAGGGTCTTCCTGGAGACCTGGCCGAGGGAGGAAAGGGGGAGATGCTGTTGGGTCATGAAAGGTCTTCAAGGAAACAACCACGTTCAGGGAGCACCAAGGACTCCACAACTTCAGGATTGTCCAGAATCTCTTTGCATTCTCCAGAGTGTCTATGTGGTACAACCACGTTGCTCTGAGTGAAGATGGGGGTACAGAGTGGTCTCACTGAGAAGGTAGCATGATCAGAGCAGGAGCTCAGGTTACGCAGCCCTTCAACTCACCTCTTTCGTCCGATCATTTGACAGTAGTATGACTAGAGGAACAAGGCTGTTCAGGATGTTTTCCGCCATATTACTATTCCGTATCTCCTTCAGTCCTTTCAGGAGCATGCCGAAAATGGTGATGGAGGTATTCCTCAGTTCGATGTCGTCCTACGAAGGAAGAGAGACAGGTTGGTCCCTCCAATAGCAGAATAGCCATGCAGAAGCTTCTTGAAGGAGAACACACAAGTTCAGAGCCCACCTATTCCCAGTTGAATGTCCATGGAGATGGTCAATCATCCAGGTCATGGTTGCCCCAAAGATGGGGACCCCAACTCCAGTATGCTGGCTGGAGAGTTCTGGGAGTTGAAGTCCTCCCCTCTTAAAGTTGCCAAGGTTGAGTAATCCTGATCTAGACCAGAGTTGTTCAATCTTAGCAGCTCCTCCTGGAGTTCTCAGGACAGCAGAGTTGAAGTCCACACATCTTAAAGTGTCTGAGATCAAGCAACACCAATCTAGATGACCAATCTAGGGCATTTTGCTAGATAGGCTGTGTGGTGTTGTAGATTTTCTAGGCGGACACCTGGTTTGGTGAAGCTGAAGAGAGGGGCAACCTTCCTTCTCGTCCACCTCCTCTGGCACTTCTCCAGCTCTCTAGAAGGGCTCAAGGATCATCCGCAAGCTTACCCACTGTTTCAGATCAGCACAACACAGTTGTTGCTGAACTTTCTAAGCATTTTCGATAAAATTGGAATTCTGCAGATGGTACCCAGGCCTTCTTTATGGGAGAAAGAGAGAGAGAGAGAGAGAGGGAGAGGGAGAGGGAAAGGGAGGGAGGGAGGGAAGGAGAGAGGAAGGAGGGAGGAAGGAGGGTGGGAGAGAGAAAGAGAGAGGAGAAGAGAGGGGGAGAGAGGGAGGAGGAGAGAGAGAGAAAGAGAGAGGGAGGGAGGGAGGGAGGAGGGGGAGAAAGAGAGAGAGAGAGGGAGAGAGAGAGAAAGAGAGAGAGAGGGAGGAAGGGAGTGAGGAGTGGGAGAAAGAGAGGGAGAGAGAGAGGGAAAGGGAAGGCGGGAGGGAGGGAGGGAAGGAGGGAGGAAGGAGGGAGGGAGGGAGAGAGAGAGAAAGAGAGAGAGAGGGAGGAAGGGAGTGAGGAGGGGGAGAAAGAGAGGGAGAGAGAGAGGGAAGAGGGGGAGAGAGGGAGGAAGGGAGAGAGTTTGTTATGATTTGGTTGACTTACATCATGAAAATATTTTGGAAGGAGCGGAATGAGGTTGACTGCCTTCCATGCATGGGTTTCTATCTCGAGGTGTCTGAGGAGGAAACGCAGGGTCCTTATAGCTTCCTTCGCCACGGTCTTCTTTTCGTGACAAGCGCAGTTTAGCACTGGCATCAACAGTGGCTCCAAGATGTTCTTCTGGAGGAAGCAGGGAAAGAAACGAGCAATTAAACACGGTCACTGGAGTTCTCTGAATCTCGCAGCGATCATGACAAACACAAGAGAAGCCCACAGAGCATAGAAGAAGAGGGTTGCAAAGGAACTTGGAGGTCTTCTAGTCCAACCCCCTGCTCAAGCAGGAGACCCTAGACTCTGATGGACAAATGGCTGCTGGTCTCTTCTTGAAAAGCTCCAGTGATGGAGCACCCACAACTTCTGGAGGGAAGTCCTTTCACTGGTTAATTGTTTTCGGTGTCAGGAAATTTATCCTAAGTTCTAGGTTGCTTCTCTCCTTGATTAGTTTCCATCCGTTGCTTCTTGTTCTGCTTTCAGATGTCCTCCAAGAGGATCTGGCCTCTACTTGCTCCTTCAGATCTTCCAGGGGTGCAGCCATCTTTGTAGAAGAGACACCACTCTAGCTGTCCTCTTTCTGCTGGTTGCCTTCTTCTTCTCCTTCTTCTATCCTTCCCAGCCTTGTAGACTTCCCAGAGAGTGAGGTCACACCTGCTATTACCTTGGAAGCCACTCCCTTCCTGCCCCCCGTCTCTTACCTCAAACGGATGTTGGATGAGGTTCCCCAATGCTCTAACACTGAAGATCTGTATCAGCGGATATGGCTGGCTCATCCATTCCATCAGCACCTGGAGGATGTCTTGGATGACAAAGAATTGGCAAATTTCCGGATGGTACAGCAGCTGAGGAAGAAGAGTGGAGATACGGAGCATTAGCCAAGCAAAGGAAGGGAACTTCCCTGAGAGCCTCGACTAAAATGCCACTTTCAGCCATTATGGGAGAGAACAAGAAAATAAATACAGTCCTACTCTTTTTGTTATTTCAAATTGTTCTGAAATTGTTATTGTTATTTCCCCTCCTATTCATATTAACATTGGAAATTCTCTTAAGGGAAATTCGAAGTGATAAGGAAATACAAGGTCTGAAGATCAAGAGGGAGGAATACAAGCTCCAAGCCTTCGCAGACGATATCGTACTTATCGCAGAACAACCAATAATAACGGGCACTAAAATATTAGACAAAATAGAGAAATATGGGAGAATAGCGGGACTTAAAATTAATAAACAAAAGACAAAGATACTAACGAAGAAACTTACAAACCAGCAAGAAAAAGAATTAGAGGACAAATTAGGTATACTAACTACAAAGAAGATAAAATATATAGGAATATGGCTCACCAATAAAAGCACATCCATTAGAGAAGACAATTATGATAAACTTATAGGACAAATCAAAAAGAACCTAGAAACCTGGAAAAAATTACCATTATCTTTGTTGGGAAAAATTGCTTCAATTAAAATGAACGTCCTTTCCAGAATTTTATACCTATTCCAAGTGATTCCAATAAAGCCGGGAAGGAATTTCTTCAAAGACCTTAATAAATTAATAGCGGATTACATCTGGCAAGGCAAGAAAGCAAGAATTAAAATCAAATACTTACAAGATTCAAGAGAAAGAGGAGGACTTGCGTTACCGGACTGGGAAACATATTATAAAGCATCAACATTGATTTGGACCAAGGAATGGATGGAACTAAAAACAAAAGACTGCTAAATCTAGAAGGATTTGACCTACAGCGAGGATGGCATGCATTCTTGTGGGAGGGCACTGATAAACAACACGGATACTTCCAGAGACATACTGTCAGGCAGGCATTATACCACACATGGCAGGGTATCAAAAAAGCACATTATTATAAAATCCCAGAATGGTTATCAAACATGGAGGCCGAGATTTACCCAAATGCCATGGACAGCACCAAAATGAAAACTTATAAGGACTTACTAAACCACCAAGGAGAGCTAAGAACAAGACAAGAACTGCAGGAGATGGGTACAGACATCGACTGGTGGCCCTACCTACAAATAAAATCAAGATATCAGAAGGATTTGACCCAATTTGAATTCCAAAAAGGCCAAAACGAGCTAGACAAAATCTTACAAGGACCACAGGACAAATTGATTTAAAAAGTTTACAACTATTTACGAGCATACAAATTAGAAGAGGAGGTAGTCAAGGACAACATGTTAAGCTGGGCAAAGAACTTCAGCCATAACATCGAATTAGATAAATGGAAAAAACTATGGACAATAAACTACAAACTGACAATGTCTGTACCCTATAAGGAAAACCTGCTTAAAATGTTTTATAGGCGGCATCTCCCCCCGGCCAGGTTGGCAAGATTGTTTCCCAACACATCTCCAACATGCTGGAAATGTAAGCTACACAAAGGAACCTACTATCATACATGGTGGACCTGCCCAAAGGCAAAACAATACTGGCGAATGATCAAAACACAAATAGAACAAATCACACAGCATAGAATAGAAATGAAGCCAGAAACCTTCCTATTAGGCATTATATCTGGACAATATGAAAACGAAATTAAATACCCAATAATCCACATAACAACGGCAGCACGTATAATTTTTGCACAAAATTGGAAGAGTAACGACATACCAAATGAAGAGAGAGTAATTAGCAAAATCATGGAATGTGCAGAAATGGACAGACTCACAAAGGAACTTTAAGATAAGGAAGAACACGATTATTACTTAGTATGGGATAAGTGGTACACTTGGTTGGAAGGTAGGAAAAGGAAAAAACAGGACTAGGAGGTAGCCAGTGGAATCTAAGATAGATATAGAAATACAAATTACTTACCGCAGGCCAATAGTGACTTAAAAAAGTTTAAACACAACATAAAAGACCCAATGAGGGAGGAGTCAAACATACAAATGAGAACCATATAACAGACTACAGTTGCGATAACTTTGATAAGATTATACCTGATTTCTTTTCTTTTGTGTACATGTTTTGTATGTCTTGTTATTACTTTGTTTTGTTTTGTTTGTATCTTTAAATAAACAAAATTGAAAAAAAAAGAAAAGAAAATAAACACAGTCCTCGGTTAGCGACCGCTGAAAATCAAAACGGCACTGACAAAAGGGATACGTCCATTTTTCAGAATTATGACCATGGTAGCATCATCATGGTCATGGGATCAAAATTTGGGTACTTGCCGGTCCATATTTGAGTTGGAGACGTGGCTCTTTCGTCAACTTAACTGATCCATTATGGGTGTTCATTGTTATAATTTTAAATTGTTTTAATTGGGTTGTTGATTTTAATTTATTATGATTTGTATTGGATATTGTTTTTGTAAGCCACCCTGAGTCCCTCGGGAGAATGGCGGCATATAAATCACAATAATAAATAAATAAATAAATAAATAAATAAATAAATAAATAAATAAATAAATATTTATGACGGTCGCGGGGTTTCGAGCTTACGTCATCCCTTTTGTGACCGTCTGATAGGGCATGTAAATGATAGTTGCAAGAATACAAAAAGTAACCCTGGGCAACGTTCCTTGAGCTCCAGAAGGTTGGGGTGCATCTCAAGGTCTCCTCACCTCCGAAAAGAAAACCATCCCGATGGTTTTATGCCTTAAATCGGGGTGGCGCAGGTAGAGGTTGGCCTGTCGGAACATGACCTTCAGCTCATGTTTGGAGTAGTTGAACAAGTTCCTAAGAGAATAAATATGGACAGATCAGAGAAGATCTGCTGGTGAGGGAGAAGAAAATCTCCAAGCTAGAGAAATCGTGATCTGAATTATCATGGATAAATGGATTACTCAATGAATTACTCCATTTAGAGAATTTCTCACCCTCCCTCTCTCCCTCTCCCCTTCCTCTCCCTTTCTTTCTCTCTCTCCTTCTCTGACTCCCCCCTCTCTCTCCCCTCTCCTCTCTCTCCTCCCTCTCTCTTTCTCACTCTTCCCTTCCCTCCCTTCCTCTCCTCCCCTCTAATCTTTCATCTCTCACACTTTTGCCTTCTGTGTCCCTCTCCCTCTTTCTCTCCCTCTCCCCTCTCCCCTCTCTCTCCCCTTCCCTCTCTCTCCCCTTCCCCCTATCTCTTTGCCTCTTCCTCTCCCTCGCCCTCTGCCTCCCCTCCCTCTCTCACCCACTGCCCCTCGTAGCCAAGCTCTTTTGACTTTTAATTTCTTACCGGACCAGGTGGAAAATGCCTTCAAACACACTTTCAGGACTCCTCAGCATCTCCCAACATCGAACCATGTCTAAATCCTTGAACTCCTCCTGATAGCCGGTGCACAAGATGAGGTGTTTGACGGCTTCGACTGCGTTGCTAAATGAAACAAAGGAAGAAGAGTTGGTGCCAATCATTCCGCTGATCCCCCTGCACTTACGACCGTTACAGTATCCCTATGGTCATGGGATCAGAATTCAGACTCTCGGCAACTGACCCGTATTTATGACGGTCGCAGTGTCTCAGAGTCACGCGATCCCCTTTTGAGACCTTCTGACAAGCAAAGTCAACGGGGAAGCCAGATTCACTTAACGACCATGGGGCTTAACCAGGGCAATGATTCACCTAACCACTCTGGCAAGAAAGGTTGCAACATGGGACAAAGTTCACTTAATGACTGTTTCACTCAAAGTTCACTGTAGGCATCTCCTGAGCTTTGCAGAAATGGAGAAAGGATCCAGATTGGGCCTAGGAGATTCCTTACCCCAGGTGGTTGGTCTCCTCTGACCCGCTCTTGCCTGCTCCCAGCAGGAAATAGATCTGCGTCACGAGCGCCAGGAGCAGGCTGGAGAACTTATTCTGGACAATGGTTGGTGCCTCAGGAAGCGAGAGGAGGAAGGAGAGCGCATTGGTGGCCTAGAAACAGGAGGAGAGGAGAGTCAGCTCGGGCTCATCAGGTTACTTAGGTTCATCATCTTCTTCTTCTTCTTCTTTTAACGACCCCATAATCCCCTGCGGGGTGGAGTCTGGGCAACTGAATGGAGCTGAGGGTTTACTGGCTGGATGCCCTTCTTGTCGCCAATGCAGAGTTTTGTTCGGCAGATACATTCTCATTGTGCCCAGAGAAAGAAAAAAATCCTCATGTCCATGAAACCTGAGCCAGGAATGTCCATGTCTGAGACACGGAGCCAAATTTTGCTAGAAGTGGGACTTCTGAAACTCCCATTCTACACCCGAGCCAGACTTTGGGAGGCCAGTGGGGTGTAGATACAGGACAAAAGGGAGACAACGAGTAGCACAAGTGAGACAGAACTGGGGACAAAGAGATCGGTAATCTCTCGTTTCTCTGTTTGTCTTCATTCCTAAGTGGCTCTTGACTCTCCACTATTAGGTGATTGGAGGGGTCCTTGGTGCTGTCTGAGCGTGTGTTTTTTTGTTGCAGATGTTTCATGACCCCACTAGGTAACATCATCAGTGCTCAAAGAGTTCGGCTTAGAGGTAGGGTTAGCCTGGTTGGGTCGTGAAACATCTGCAAGAAAACCACCAAGCTCAGTAAGCACCAAGGACCCCACAGTTGTCCTGCTCCTCCTCCTCCTCCTCCTCCTCCTCCTCCTGCTGATATTACTTGGTTGGGTAATGAAATGTCTGCAAGGAAACAGCGAAGCTCATAGAGCACCAAGGACCTCACAGTCCTCCTCCTCCCTCTTCCTCTTCTTCCCCTCCACTCCACAAACCCCACTCCATTCTAGCCTTGATGATGTTACCTAGTTGGGTCATGAGATGCCTGCAAGAAAACCACCAAGCTCAGAGGGCTCCAAGGACCCCACAGTTCAAACCTGGACTACAAATATTCTCTTCTATTGGTCTCAATTAATCAAATTTCTACACCGGCCATCTGAGCAATCTGACACTGGGAAGTTTACAACAATGTAATAAAACAACATAACACATAATAAGAATACAGATTAAAAATATTTAAAATAAGATTAAATATTAAAAATTAAAAATAAGATTAAAAAAGTACTCCGTTGGGTGTTTGCCTTGGTTGATTCCTATCACGTATTTTCTTAAACCAAACTCTTTTTTAGTTATTTCTGTAAGAAATAACGTAAGAAATGAATAAAGGAATCAATTGAATTATGAATGATTGGATGAGTAAAGGAATGAATAAATGAAGGAATGTATGAATAAACGAATAAATCAATGAAAGGATACAGGAATGAATGGATTAATGAATAGATGAACGGATGGATGGATTGATGGATGGGTGGATAGATGATCGAGCTGGATGGATGGATGGATGGATGGATGGATGGAAGGATGGACGGACAGATGGGTGGAAGATGGGTGGATGGATGGGTGGAAGATGGGTGGATGAATGGTTGGATGGATGGATTGATGGATGGATGGATGGATGGATGGATGGATGGATGGATATCAAAGCTGTTCGGGTGAGGAAGCCCACAGATGCCTCTACATTCAATGGGGCATTTGGGGGGGTGGGTTATGCCAAATTTTGCTCCAATTTCAGTCCCCACCAGTTTGCCCTCTGCCTCCCTCCAACCAGGGCATGCCTGCTCCTGATGAGGAGACCCCCGAGGGCGACTCTTCTGCTCAGCCCCTTCCCCCTTCCCTCAGGCGTGGCCCACCTGTAGATTTAAGGAAAGGAGAGCCGCCGGTTGAGGGCTTACCGCAATGGGCATGATGGATTTGCTATTTCTCCTCCCAAAAGCTTCGGTGGTGGGGTCTTCGTTCTGAAGCCTTTTGAGGAGGGGCTTCATGATCTTCATGTTAGCATAGGGGTCTTCAGCCAGCGCCCTCCATAACTCCTTGGCACTTCTGTGCAGGTGGAAAAATAGATTGGGGGAAAAATCAGATTCTTTCCCCATTTTCGAAGAGACGGCCAGTCCAGAGAGATTAACTCCCACAACGGAAGAAAGGATTAGAGAACCGATGGCCAAATGAACTGCTTTAATGCATGGAAAAAAATATATCTACAGGTAGTTCTTGACTTGCAACCGTTTGTCTAGCAGCCATTCAAAGGAGGGCCTCTGCGTCACCGGAAGTGCCAGGGAACCCAGAACTGGTCAAGGGAGGGGACGTTTCTAGGAGCAGTGTGTCTGCAGAATTAACCCAAAGGTGCTTTTCACAGAATGACCGAGTTGGACGGGACCTTGGAGCAGTGGTGAAATTCAAAAATTTTCCCTACCGGTTCTGTGGGCGTTTCTTGGTGGTCATATGACCAGGCGGCCGTGGCTTGGCGGTTATGTGACCGGGTGGGCGTGGCTGCACAACTGACTCACACACAATGCAGAAGCAGCTGGACTTCATACAAAATGGCCTCTGCAACAACTAGGAACCTCACTGAGTCACTGACAGCTCAAAAGCAAACTATCACACTTTACACAAAAGTAACACAAAAGTTACACAACTGACTCACACACAATGCAGAAGCAGCTGGACTTTGCACAAAATGGCCCCTGCAAGCAACAGGAACCTCACAGACAATCAGGCACAGCTGATTTTCTCACAGCTGACTGGTAGTAAAAAAATGCTGAAATTAGAAATTAAAAAAAGGTTCCGACATTGCCCAGAACAGCTGATTGTCGTACTTTTTAAAGCATTTTTTTTTACTACCAGTTCTAGCAAACAGTAGCAATTATTACTATCAGTTCGGGCGAACCAGACCAAACCGGTAGGATTTCACCCCTGCCTTGGAGGTGTTGTACTCCAAACCGCTTCTCAGGCAGGAAATCTTATCCCATGTCAGACAAATGGCTGCCCAATCTCTTCTTGGAAACCTCCAGTGATGGTGCACCCACAACTTCTGGAGGCGAGTTGTTCCACTGGTTAATTGTTTGTACTGTTAGGAAAGTTCTGCATATAGTAGGTTGCTTCTGCCTTTGATTCGTGTCCATCCGTTGCTTCTTGTCCTGCCCTCAGGTGGTTTGGAAAATAGGTTGACCCCCTCCTCTTTGTGGCAGCCCCTCAGATGTCAGAACACTGCTATCCTGTCCCCCCTCAATCCTTCCTTTCAATCAGCACATGACCTGCCCACCCCAAGTCCTTCATCTGTGAGCCACACCTGACCCATCAGAAGACCCTCACCTCATGCGACCCTCATCTGATGTGTCCTCCCCATCAGAAGACCCTCACCTGACGTGATCCACAACTGACCAATGACCAGACCCTCACCTGACATGATCCACAACTGATGTGACTTCTCCCTCATAAGACCTACTGACCACACAAAGCCCTTACCAGCAGAAGAACATCAACACTGGTGTTCTCTAAACTCCGCTGAAGATGTTACCTGGCCTGGTAACGAAACGTTCAGAAACCCACCCAGAAGCTCAGAGAACCAACCTCCACCCTCATCCTCCACCTGAGCTACAGGTATTCGCCCCATCGCAAATGGTTGAGAATCTCTGTGGCATAAAAGAAAGCAGGAGGCACATCTCCTTGAGGTTCTTCTTACCCATCGCAATCCACCGAGCACTCGAGGAGAATATCCACGACTCTGTTCACCCGTTTGGACGCCACGTGACACACTGCCTTGAGAGTTTGTTCTTTGGTGGCAGGGTCCGAGATCTTCGGGAGACGCATGTAGATCTCCTTGAGGATCATGGGCAGCTATGGCAAAAGAGGGATCCGAGGGATGAGACCGGCTGCGACCGTCATAATATGGAACACATTTGCTAAGCCCCTGAATTTTATCCCATGACCCTGAGGATGCTTAAGAGCCTCAAGAGGTCGTCCAAACCCTGCTTGGCCTTTGTTTTTTAATGTCAACTGGAATGGATCCAGGAACAGATGAGGAACATCCAAACAGACTGATCTCGAACTCAGGACCACCCCAGCCACTAGCAAGAAACCCTGCGGTCCATAGTTCAAATGTTGGGTAGCCGCTAATTCCCCACTTCTGTCCTTTTTCTGGTCTCTTGGACTACCACCTCCATTATCCCCGGTCAAGTCCAGATAGGATGCCTGAAGGCAACTTTTTGATTGATTGATTGATTTGTTTATTTAACCCCACCTTTATTACTTTCACGGATAATTTGAAGCGGAGGAGATATCCAGCTTGTACCTTCTCCCTCCTCTTTCCCCCACAATCACCCCCCTGTGAGGTGAGTTGGGCTGAGAGAGAGAGAGAGAGACTGGCCCAAAGTCACCCGTGTGGCTTTCATGGCTAAGACAGGACTTGGCCTTCTCCTGCCTTCTAGCCTGGCGCCTTAACCACTGCCAAACTTGCTCTCCAACTGTTATTTCTCATGAAAACAATACGGCTATTTGTTTTGCCCTTACCTTCTTCTGGAAGGTTTGACCAACTTTCTCAACAGCCCTAAGATCACCTGGTGGTCTCCCATCCAGCCCTAGCCTTCTTCAATGCAGCCAAAGTGTTGTCACCAAGCCAACAAGGTCTCACCCATTCTCATCTTTCTTTTCTCCAAAATCTCCTCTATCCCTTTTGCTCCAAACCCTGCCATTTTCTTACCTCCTCCATCTCCATCCCACATTCCTCCAAGAACGAATTGAGCAGGAGTCCCGCAGTGTGTGAAATGTTCTTGTCCGGGTCTGTCAGAGCCTCCAGGGCTTTTAAGATCAGGTCGTTTATTTGTGACGGGCTCAGATGCTCGCCAAAGGCCTATCGGAAGGAAGAAAAGGAGACCATGAGGAGATGCATCAGGGTTTTGACTCCCTCCTTCTCTCGACAAGCCAGAGACTTTGACCCAGATTTGGGGACAGCACCCCACGTAGAGAGGCAGGCCTTATTCCGTGTCACCCATCAGGTAAACTAAACTAAAACGTACCTTAGCCATTTTGGAGACGTTATTATAAAATATGGTGGGGCCCGAAAGGAAGAAGTCTTCCCTCAGCCAATTGACGATGTTCCCCTTCTTGTTCTTGGCCTTCTTGTCCATTTCTTTGGCTGTGGAGGGAGGAAAACAAGGGAAGGTCAGATTTTGGCATTCGGAGCTTCTGAAGATCCTTCGTCTGACGGCCGCTTTAGTCGTTCCAACAGAAGAGAAGATCTGCAGCTCAGGGCTGACCTGAGGGGTCCCTGGTGCTCTCTGGGCTCGGTGGTTTTCTTGCAGACGTTTCATTGCCCAACTAGGGAAGATCATCAGTGATGATGACCATCAGCACTGAGAGGGCAAAACTCTCAGTGAAAAGCTCCTTCCCTTCTAGTACTGATGACGTTAGCTAGTTGGGTCATGAAATGTTCACAAGAAAACAACAAAGCTCAGAGAGCACCACAGTCTTCCTCCTCCTCCTCCTCTTCCTCTCCCTCCCTCCTTCTCTCTCCCTCCCTCCCTAGCTGAAACACTTAAGATGAGAAACTCAGCCTTCAAATGACCCCTGGCCCTGAGAGGTGCCAATATCAGCTGCCAATTCCAGGCATCTCTGCCCAGCCCAATGACCAGCAGGCTGTGACACCCAGGGCTCTCCTGGGCAGGGCGCATCCCTGAGCTCCTGGCAGCCCTTGGAGTCCAACTTTCTCACCCAGTTTGCTCATGATGAGGTGGTGGAGGTGGTAGGCGGCCTCTGCGGACGTCTGGCCAACTTCTTCACTGGTGTCGCCAACGTGCAGGCCCAGCAAAGCCACCAGCTGTCCCAGCAAAGAAAAGTCAGCTGTAGTCTAATGAAAGGAAGCAGGAAGGAGGGGAGAGATGAGAACGGGGGGCTCATGAAGGTTTCAGCCAGCTGAAATCGGAGAATATGAACCATAGCACCACAGAATCCTAGAATCGTCCATTTTAGAATCCTAGAATCACAGAATCTTAGATACAGAGAATCTTAGAATTTTAGAATCATAGAATTATTGAATATTTGAATTTTAGAATCCTAGAATCTACAAATCATAATCCTAGAATCTTTGAATCAATGAATCTTTGAATCTTCAAATCTTTGAGTCTTCAAATCATAGAGTCATAGAATCATAGCATCACAGAATCTTAGAATCATAATCTTTGAGTCTTCACATCATAGAATCTTTGAATCATAGAATTTTGAATCATAGAACCTTAGAATTATAGAATTTTAGAATTCAGAATTATAGAATTTTAGAATCCCAGAACCTCAGTTGCTGGGAGGGACTGTGGAGATTTTCTCCTCCAACCCCTTGCTCAAGCGGGACTCTTTATATCCTCCTGGTCACATCCCAAAGATGCTTTTTCCAAAAGGCAGCTGGACTTCCTTCTTTTTTTCCCTTTCTTTGAAAACATCTCCCTTCTCATCCCAAACGGTGACTTACGTCGAAATTGACGTTTTCAGAAACGAACTTCAGGAGGTGCCTGGTGCTCTTGATGGCCCTCTCTCTCTCGTGACTCTTGGGGGATTCAATCCAGGGATTCGTGTGCTGCCAGGAAAAACAAAGGAGGAGGAGGAGGAAAGGAAGAATTTGTGATTCACAGTAGGAATAGCTGCAGAATTTGCCAGGACTGGGGAGAAAATCTAAGGAACTAAACGAATTTGAGGCGGTTATCAATTTAGGTCTATTCTAGACTCAAAACTAGAGTAGGAGTTGAAGATTTCTGGAATACAGCTAGTCTTACAATAGTTCATTTAGAGTCATGGTGGCACAGTGGTTAGAATGCAGTATTGCAGGATAATTCTGCCGACTGTCAGCAGTTCGATCCTGACCAGCTCCAGGTTGACTCAGCCTTCCGTCCAGAATCCGTGACAGAATTGCCAAATCCAGCCTAACCATCTGGCTGACAGTGCGACCAACCCCAAGAAAGAATCACTCTTTACCGTCATGATATCCTGCAGGGAATCCAAATTGGGAGCCTCGGACAGCAAGCCGGTGAGCATGGTGTTGCAGGCGTTCGCCGTCTGGTGATAAAAGTCCTAAAAGAAGAACAAGAATGTCCGAAGGAAGAAGTGGCGTAAAGGAAGGAACGGCGCCTAAAAGAGGAAGAAATCCAGGGGTGGGGAATTTATGGCCTTTTTAGTACGGCTGGTGGACTGCAACTCCCAACAATCCTGAGCCAGCCATGGACTTCTGGGAGTTGAAGTCCACACACCTGCATTAAATGGAGTGGCCCACCTTGCAGGGCTGATTTTTCTTCCAGAGTTGGAGGAAATGCTTTCTCGGCTGAACATGAGGAACAAAAGGACTTCCTTCCTGTTACATTCAGAACAGACCGACCAAAAGGTTGAATGTCTTCCTTAACAGTTTTGGGATATTCAAATACAGGCAGTCCTCAACTTACGACCACAATTGCGCCCAAATTTCCATTGCTAAGCGAGACATTAGTGAAGTGAATTTTTCCCTCGTTTTATGACCTTTCTTGCCACTGCGGTTGTTAAGTTAGCCACACGGTTCTTAAGTGAATCGGGCTTCCCCATTGACTGGTGCAACTGTTGTAAATCTGAACCGGTTGTTAAGCGTCTGAATTCTGAGACTACCTAGGAATCATAGCTAGTGAATGCAGAACATGGTTGTTCTGCCCCACCGTGGCCCTTCTTTTGTTCGGGGGCAAAGGGGGGAGATGGGAATTGGTCTTGAGAAGACACTTCAACCAGAACACAAAAGAGAAGTGGAGGAAGAGAGAAAAGATGGCGAGGAAAACCATATAGAGATGCTTAGGACTTAATAATTGTCCTATGCTCCAGAAACTTATAATGAGAAGTGGACGCATACTTTCAGGACCAAAGATGAAGGGACAGGCCAAGGTGCCATTGGGATTGAAGGATGGATCAAGAGTTTTTGAGGAGATCTTGAATCATGTTTACCAGATCCTTGTTTCCAGGTGGATCTCAGAGGGCTTTTCTCCATCTGGACTGCTCACCTGAGTTTGAGCTGATTGCCCTGGGCTGTTTGCTTTCAGGGTGGTCATCTTGAAAGCCGGCAAGGAAAACACCTTCTGGATGCTTTTGCTCACCACTTTAGACCTCATCTCAGAGTTCAAGGTGGGTTTCATACGGCTGATGAAAGACAAGAAAAAAGGAGGAGGGTGAGAAGATCATAGACTCATTGGGCTAAAAGGGACCTTGGAGATCTTCTACTCCAACCCTTGCTTGATGGTCCTTCAACCATCCCAGTCATATGGTTGTCCACTCTTCTCTTGAAAACCTCATGTGATGGAGCACCCCCAACTACTGGAGGCAAACCGTTCCACCGATTGATTGTTCTCAGTGTCAGGAAATTTCTCCTGGATCTCTCTTTGATAAGCTTCCATACATCGCTTCTTATCTTGCTCTCAGGTACTTTGGAGAGGAGGTTGACCCCCTCCTCTCTGTGAGAGCCCCTCAAATATCAGAACTCTGCTACCATGCCTTCCCTGGTCCTTCTCTTCACTAGGCTAGCCAGGCCCAGTTCCTGCAACCGTTCATTGTCTGTTTGGGCCTCCAATCCCCTAATTATCTTGGTTGCTCTTCTCTAAACTCTTTCTAGAGTCTCAACATCTTTTTAATATTGTGGTATAATCTCAATCTCTCTCTCTCTCTCTCTCTCTCTCTCTCTCTCTCTCTCCATGTAAATTCTTCACCCTTCCAAATTCTGGGGCTGACCTGCTAACTCAATGTATGCTCTACAACAGGGGCATCAAACTCAAGGCCCTGGGATGGATGCGGCCCGCGATGTGGTCGGATCTGGTCCGGGGGGGGCCATCCTGGTCTTCCCAATGCAAAGAGGAAAGATCAGGCCAGCATGGCTTCCAACCAATCTACCCAATGCGAAGAGGAAACATGCCAGCAGTTTGGGGAGTGACGTCAAGCTGGCCACACCCACCCCGTCGGCCACACCCACTCATTTGGTGACCCCCGCCCATCCATCCCCGAGGTCAACCACAGCCCTGATGCGGCCCTCAATGAAATTGAGTTTGACACGCCTGCTCTAGAGCATGGGGACTTGGCATTGAAATCCCATCACTGGGTCCAACTCCAAGTTCCTACTGAGCTGGTTGGAAGATGAGGGCGGAGCAGGTAGGTACCTTATGCAGGTGATGGTGACGATCGCTTGATGGAGAATTACAACGGACAAGGGTCTCGCGGGCTGATCTTCAATGACTTCCTGAAAGGAGAAAGAAACACATCTAAGAAAGCTCCTGAGATATGGCCACCATCCAGCTGCCCCTCTTCCCAGCCCTATGCTTTTCCTGGTTGACACAGGAAGTCCCCAACTTACAACTGGTTGCTTAGCCACCATTTAAAGTGTTGAGGGATCTCTCCAGGACTACTTATGACCCAGATGCAAAGTTCCAAGAGGCGTCCCTTCCTCAGGGATCATGTGACCATATTTTGGTCACTTGGCAACCAGTGTCCCATGAACATGATTTAAGTCAGGGATGGGTAACTGCTCTTTACGATCCATATAAAATTGGGAAGCCAGATTCACTTAACTACCATGCAAATAATTTAAGGAAAATGATTCAGCTAACAATGGGCAGAATTCACTTAACAAATGTCCCACTTAGCAACAAAAAGCTTTCAGGCTCAATTGATTGATATTCAATTCGATTCAAATTCACTTTCAAAAATAAATAAGCCCAGGAGCACCTGCCTCCCTTCCCTCTCCCCACTTACAATGATGTTTATGACCAATTCCTGTTTATGGGGCAAATGGATGTCTTGCCTCCTGCTGTAGGCAACAGCTTTGGTGATCATGATGATGGACCTCATGAACGCTGTCTTCAGCCCTTCGTCCTGGGAAACACACGTGGGAATAGGGTGGGGTCAGAAAAACCAAAGGAAGGGCCTCCGGTTGAAATTCTGGCGCCTTCGGAAGTGAGCTCCACAGCCCCGTTCCTAGCTCTCTGTGTCGGGGACTTCATTCGAAGCCATAGCCACCCTGTAGGGGTGGTGAAGCAAAGGGGGACCACCTTGCAAGTTGCGGGGAGCTGCATCTCCCCTCCCTGACTCGGAAAAACCTCTCATCTGAAGACTAGGAGTAGCGGCATTCAAAAATGGCTGCCATGAAGCCGGGGAACATCCAGAAACCATCAGTTTGTGCAGGAAAAGAGAAATGGTGAATGATGTGTTGTCTGGGTGAGATATAAAAAAATATATATTGGATATATAAAAATGACTTGAGGAGTGGAGGATCCCTGAAGCAACCAACTGATTTGATTGAACATTGATGAGACATTAAAATTTGACTTGGAGGCTTGGTTTCTGAACCGATGATTGTGGAGAATTAAACAGAACAGAGTCAATGATTCAAAGCATTAAGGACCTTATACTGGATATATGAATAATAAAACAGATGATCATGTCTTTGAATATAATTATGTGAAGGGGGAAAATGTTAAAAGTTTAGAATGGAAGGATGGTAAAGCAATGTATTCATGATATGGAATAAGGAAAATGGAATGTAATAATTATGAATATATTTGTATTGAATTATATGATACTCAGATACCACACCATTCACATAATGATATGTATAAACTACACAAATATAAAAAAACTTTATTCAAAAAAAAAAGGAAGAAAGAAAAACCAAAAGGAAGAGGATGTAATTATTTATTTAAACCTTTAGGTAGCCGATTGTCTTTGGTTGAACTCTGGGGGCTCACAATCAAAACATCACTGGGCATTCTGGGTTCTAGTCCTGCCTT